TTAAACATGCAGGGTTCCCATATATGAGTGACTCACATGTACCAATCCTGTGTTAAGCAGCTATTCTGCAGCTAATACCTTCTTAATGAGGCTAAAGAGCGTTCACAGTCACAGTTTTACAGTTGATGGTTGTTTTCTGCTGTTTTTGCCACAACATTTATTACTGAATGCTATTAACCTCTGTTAACCACGTGTGACAGCCAATGATCAGGTTGATCTCCGCACCTTCAGACGCACCTGTGCTGACAAAGACACATCCCTCCATCTTCATGTTGAATCATTAAGCAAACTAGACGCGTGTCACCCAGAATGCTTTGCCTGCCACTTCGACTGAAGACTCGGGGAAACAATCAGTCATTCTGATCACATCAGATCTCTAACGACTTTACTCTGACATGCCAAAAAGCTACTAGATATTTCTGAACCGCACCCTGGGCTGTGAGGCAAGTCTGCAGCCAGAAGGAAACAGCCCGACAGCTGTTTGAACCCAGCCCAAAGCACAGAGCGGGGCTCGTTTACAAACCACACACACTGACATCACATGAGCAGCAGACAATCCGCAGTCCTGTTTAAGACTCGTATGAGACACAACCCCCCCACCACACCCCCCTGGATGTGGATCTCAAGGAGCAACAAGTGGAAAGAGAAGGAAGGTTAAAGTCAACTTTAGGAAGAGCTATGAAGAAAAACGTTGGACTTACCCGACTTGCGCTTGGAGCCATAGTCCCTGAGAGAGAAGCAACACAAGAGGGACATGGTTAGTGACGGGGCAGCTCGGGCCACCACATGTGTGTCTGCAGAAGCTGGCGGCTGCGCTCATGCACGGACGCACGCATGCAATCTGCTTCAGCGCACCGACGAACGCGTGTGTTCGAGGGCGAGCGAGAGCGAGACAGAGCGAAGGATGGAGAGAGAGGGAGGGACGACTTTGGCCAGCTGCCTGCACTCCCAGCAACAGACACAAATCAGTCATGTGACTCTAAAGCGGCACCACCATCCTCCTCCTCCTCATCCTCCCTGTCAGAGGAGGAGGAGACCTCTCCCCACTTTTCAAAGCAGGAGGATCAGTTGAAGATGCTTTGCTTAAAGGACTCTAACGGGATTATGCGACAAGCCTGAGCTATAAATCGGCA